ATGAGTAGAGTAGAATTATAACACTCACAGTGCATCAGTGTTGACGGGCAGGTCCCGCGGCACCTCCCCGAGCGCGGCGCGCGCGCAGGCCACGCTGACAGCGCGCGCGCCGTACTCGCACGCGCACGCCGCGGGGCACGCGCCCGACGACCCACACGCGTTTGGAGACTCTTCGCCAGCTGGGAACGTGACAATTTCAATTAGTATTTAACCTCGTTGGCTGAGTGGTCGCAAATGCGACTGCTGGGCAAAGGGTTTCAGTTTCGATTCCAGGGTCGGCAAAGTATTACTTTACTGGGTTCTAAAAAAGTTCTCAGTAGTAGCACGTCGCCTTGAATTGTGACCGGTACAAAGCAATAGGCTCACCCCCTATTACATGGGACTCGTAACATAAATAGTGAAAAGTGGGTATTACATTGTACAGTGGCATTAAGTGCCGTAATGTGCACCTCTGCTTACCTCTCTGGGGATGAAAAGCGTAATTATAAATTATGTTAGTAATTAACCGACTTCCCAAAAAGGATGAGGTTCTCAATACACCCAGTATGTATTTTTTTCGTTTGATTAAAATAAAATTTAGGAAACTAGCCTATTGAGAAAATTTTATAATGTTTTGCTTACGCACGTTGGGGGCGCCAGTAGTTCGTGGGCCCCTTATAATTGGTATGGGAGATACAGAGCTAGCTACGCAACATCATCATCAACAGCCTATAAATGCCCACTATTGAGCAAAGCCTCTTCTCACACGGAGCAGGTTTGAGTATTCATCACCACGCTTGCTCAATGCGGGTTGGCGATTTCAAACTCATAATTAGAAATTATAAGTCCAGGTTTCCTCGCGATGTTTTCCTTCACCGTTTGTCAGTGGTGTCTAGATAATCTTAGAAAGTACATATAACTCGGAAAAAGTCACATTGGTACTTGCCGTTGGTGGGTTTCCACACCCTCTTACTAGCTTAGCTTAGCTAGCTACGCCCCTGTTTTTAATTAAGATATACGTAAAGTTATACACTCTATGACATTGAAAATAAGACTTACGTTTGCACTTAAAGTTCTCTTCTCTCAGGGCATCGATTCTCTTTCTACTCATTCGTTTAGGAGAGTCACACTTGGCTCCTGATGTCTCGATGGGATTTTTTCTTAAATATGCGGCCAGCCAGCGTAGGGAACAGTCGCAGGCGAAGGGATTCCGACCTAAATGCCTGTGGGTTAGGGTTGGTTTCAGAATGAGTAAAATTTGTAGAGGATGTTTGAATAATATTTTTTTTTTATTACAAAATATTGATTGTATTGTTCTAGACCATGAAAATATTTGTAATAAATTGGCATTGATATTAAAAGAGACTTGGGTTGGATTCCCAGGTTAGTTAGGTTAAAGCAAATAGCTTCACTTTTAAATTTCTATTGCTGACGTTCGAAAGTGCCTTCCTGGTCTAATTGAAATAAATGGTTTGGACTTTGACTTTGACTCAAGTATTTTTTTTTCGGTCATCAACATTCTCACCTGTAGGTAATTTATATGTACTATAATTTAGTTTTATTAAAAAAAAACTAGCACTTGGATTTTCTCCTGTGTCGTAGGTGCGTTTACAAACATACAAGTTCACATACACATGACACTCAGAAACGAAACCACAATTTGTGGATCACACAAAGAGTTGATACGTCCGGGATTCGAACCCGCTACACGTTGCGTGGCAGCCGGTTACCCAGCAACCGCGCTAACTGTGCAATCAAAAAAATTAAAAAAATGTATCTTATACTTTTTATTGATGGTAAATCGACTTACAGCGTTTGAATCCCAGTTAGCGCATCAAATGTCCCATTTGGTAGCGATCTGATATTATTGTCGTATAGAGAACTGAAAAAAAAACAAAAATATATTATACATTGAAAAATTCACTATAATATCAACATTTACTTTTTTAACAACAAATCGCGGGTTCGTCACGTGAAAATACTTTTTATATAGGGACAAGTCCGCCACAACCTCCCAAAACCGCTGCAACTCCTGTGCACCAGGACCTACAGTAGATACAACCATGAAGACACCGGAACACTGAAGTCCGGCGCGTCTCAGGGACATGAGTAACTGTCTTGGTTCCCGCAACGACGTGAATCAGAAGATATTATAAGAGGAGAGAAAAACGATAATTTCCACTTCCCTCAGTGAATTACTGCAGGAGACAGAATAAATTAAGCTTAAAGGCACAAAGAAGAGACTGTACAACTGGGTGAAGCCCAGTCGCCAAGCACCACGGAAATTTGACTAAAAACTAAGTGGGTCCTATGTGTGAGTGACGTGAACTGAGAAAAGTTCTACTAGTTTCGCGCACGCCTACGCGTCATCACATACACGATATCACGACACACTAGGCTGCGCGACATCGCCGCGACTGCGCACGCTGCTCATGAGGAAGAGCCCCTCTGTGGTTCGAAACTAGTAGAGGTTTTCTCAGTATATTCACGTGAGTAACCCGCGATTTTTAGTTCATTTAGTATGAATCACGATAGTTATTATAAAAAAAAATTTTGTCCTATTTCTATTTGACATCATTTGGTTAAAAACTTTTTTATATATATTTGTTGGGCCGACGTTTGTCCACTATCTCGCCTGGTGGTGCACGATGATGCGGTCTACGATGGAGCACGTCATCCCATAAGCAACCTATTCACTCGGGCCTTGAAGACACTCAGGTTATACCCTTAATTAACTTACAGTAATTTCAGGTTCTGTAGATCCCTGAAGGTATCTTTTCGTACGCATGTAATTTCATTGGAATTCAGCAACCTGGAAAAAAAAAACAAATGTAGGTACATTTAATACCTGATTTTTCATTGTTAATCGACTTCAAAAAAGAAGTAATTTTGACTTGTATGTATGCATGTTTGTCCGCTATTAACTCGCGATTGGCTGCACCGAGTTTGATACGGTTTTCAGAAAAATGATTATTACACTTAGGATCAGGTTTCAAAAGTAACCGACTTTAAAAAAAGGAGGTCAAAATCGATTTTAATAAACGTTTATTGATTTAGTTTAATAACATAAAAATAGCATAAATCACGCCTTTTTATCCCGAAGCGATAGGCAGAGGTACACATTACGGCACTTAATGCCACTGTACAATGTAACTGTGCCCGGTATATGGCAATAGGCTCACCCCCTATTACATGGGACTCATAACATAAATAGTGAAAAGTGGGTGTTACATTGTACAGTCGTATAATGTGCACCTCTGCCTACCCCTTCGGGGATAAAAGGCGTGATGTTATGTTATATGTAACACCCACTTTTCACTATTTATGTTATGAGTCCCATGCAATAGGGGTGAGCGTTCTGCCATATACCGGGACTCCGTGCTTACGTGCTACTACTGAGATTTTTTTTAAAAACCCTGTAACATTTTGCCCGACCCGGGAATCGAATCCGAGACCCCTTGCCCGGCAGTCGCACTTGCGACCAATCGGCCAACGAGGCAGTCAAATTTTTAAAAAATAATTAATATAGCTTGAAATATCAACAGGGCTTAATTTTGTCAACGTTTTGCAAAAAATGTACATACATCTATATGAAACTAGCGACCCGCCCTGGCTTCGCATGGGTGCAATATGCATGTATTATACAAATAAACCTTTCTTAAGAATCACTCTATCCATTAAAAAAAACCGCATCACAATCCGTTGCGTAGTTTTAAAGATCTAAGCATACATAGGGACAGACAGACGGCGGATAGCGACTTTGTTTTATACTATGTAGTGATTAAACTTACAGTAACTGTAGGGAAGAAAGCCCGTGAAATATTCCTGATGGCAGGTCCTTTATTTTATTTCCATATAGCACTCTGAAATGAGACAAAAATATATGTAAATGACATGGTAAGCAAAGATGTAAGAGAAGTCTAATGTGGGAGAGCCATGCTTCGGCACGAATGGGCCGGCTCGACCGGAGTGATACCACGACCGAGTAGAAAACTGACGTGAAGCAAAGCTTGCGTTGCGTTTCGTCGCGTGAGTAAAGTTACCGGAGGCCCAATAACCCCCAAATCTCTAACGATCCTCAAGCCCCTAATCCTCAAAAGGCCGGTAACGCACTTGTAACGCCTCTGGTGTTCCAAAAGTTCATGGGCGACGCCGATTGCTTACCATCAGGTGATCCGTCTGCTCGTTTACCGGCTTATGCCATAAAAAAAAAAAGGAGTTTGTGATCTGATGACGTCTGATAGAGGAGAATGGGAGAAGACATGTTGTGATGACCATGAGTAATTTGGGAGGCTGGAAGATGACTGGCCACCAACAGACCAATGACAGCCCACTTTTAGACTATGAGTCTCCTCTACATAAGAGGGTTTGTCATAATCTCCGCAGGCAGTTTGGAGGTCGCAGTATAAAAGGTTCAGGTTTATCAGAGAGCGCTGCTGCACGGTCTCTGTCTACTTCGTCGTGCCTTAATCGGGTATATGATACCCGCGGGAAGAGTAGCGGTGGTGACGTATGTGTTATACTTTATCGTCTACTCTATTGACAAAGTTAACATTTGTCGCATGATTTCTTGAAAACAGAATTTTCTGTGAATGTGTCCATTGTTGGTGTCTACGTAACATGGTCATAACAATGCAATGTTTATTATTTATTACTGGAGCAGCTGATGAGTAGCCCTTGGCTTCGACGACACAGTAAAACTGACTGTTCAACGACACATTCCAGTCGGACTGTCTACGACAAAGTATTTATTTCAATGGGCCGAAACACAACTTGCACGGTTCTCACACATAATCTGTTATACATATTGTCTGATTTTAATAGAGACGGACCTCTGAGTTTGTTTCGGCATTTCTTCTCAGAGTAGTCAGTTAGGAAATGTCGACCTCATCGTTCGCTTGATAAAATTGACGTGTAAAGTTGCCTTGTAGCCTATTTGCAGAAATAAATTCACTTGTTTCACATAACCGCGTTGCGTCGCCGCAGCGCTAAAATCGGCAGTTTGCGTTGCGGCATTGCGGCGTCATGAAGAAGAGCGTTTTATTGTCGTTCTGTAGGGTAACCAGTTCGTCGTGATTTTTTATTGTTTATGGGTGTGTCTCTGCCATAGACCATCGTGGAAAACTGAATGCTTATTTGCTATTAAGATGACATTACTCTGCTATGCTGGAACGAGCTGCGGCACCGCAACGCCGCAGATTTTAGCGTTGCCGCGACGCAATGTGGTAATATGTTTCGGCCCTAAAACCATAATTTGGTCTTTTTGAAACGTCAACAAATACAAAATAACTAGTCTGTCCGTCAGTGAAGCCATGTGCTCGTAAAATAACATACACATTCAAACTGGAATGTTTCGCTGGACAAGTCAAAAGAGGGACTTCTGACTATGTAGTTTTGTTATAGTAAGCCGGTAAACGAGCAGACGGATCACCTGATGGTAAGCAATCGGCGTCGCCCATGGACACCTGGAACACTAGAAGCATTACAAGTACGTTATCGGCTTTTTGGAGATTAAGAATTTGAGGTTTGTGGGGGGTTCAGGGATTGGGGAAATTAAGGAAGGGGGGTATTTCGATTATTGAAATTCTGGACAATGACGTAGTAATACGAGTTGTATGAATGACGTAAAAAACCTGTTAATTAAAATCTCAACGTCTACAATGCATTACGCTTCTGGTGTTCCAGGTGTCCATATTGCTTACCATCAGGCGATGCGTCTGCTCCCACAATCCCATGTTCATAAGCAAATGGTTATCTTTCCCTGCTGGATACTTACAATGAAGTTAGATGCACAAGTCCAGTGAAGGCATCTGCGGCTAACTTCGTGATCTTGTTATTTGACAGATCAATTCGCGCCACTCGCTTCACTGACGCGAATGCACCGGCGCCGACCTCGGTTATCTCGTTCTGTTCTAGGCGGCTGGAAAGAGATGGAGATAGTAGTTTAATTACAAAGTGACGCAAGTGGATGTCATAAGATTTCATTCAGTCAAAAAAGTATCGGGAATGGATGATTTGTTTATGGTTCCAAATTCTAATTTTTGTTTTTTTGTAGTTGTTAGATTGGCACAACTGTTTTCCATTTTGGCGCGCAGTTTGAGTTGCATCTGTTATTTATATTAAATACAGTGCTGGTTATAGTAATATAATATTTAGTGTGTATTGCGAATTTCATAATGGACAAAAATATCGAACAAAGAGTTTGTCTTAAATTTTGCATCGCCAATGGAATTTTGTGTTCGGGGTCACTGAAAATGTTACAGAAGGCTTACAGTGAATCGACTTTATCAAAAACTCGTGCTTATGAGTGGTTCAAAGCGTTCAAAAGCGGTCGAGATGTGATGGAAGATTTGCCTCGCTATGGAAGGCCGTATGTAACTTACATTTCAGTAGCCCTATGAGGAATAGTAGCGGGTAGTTCAGAGAGCAGCTTCTCCCTGCAGTCCACGGTACCCTCAGGAGTGCAGCGGCATGGAGGCGGGCAGCGAGGCTCTGCTGAACACTCCACCGTCGTTGTCGTGGTTGGACCTGGAGGATAGAGAAGGAATGGTTCATCATTATTATCATAATCGTTGTCATCAGGTGGAAGACGATGATTGACTACCTCGTTGGCCGAGTGGTCGCAAGTGCGACTGCCGGGCAAGGGGTATCAGGTTCGATTCCCGGGTCAGGCAAAGTATTACTATGTTTTTTAAAAAAAATGTCAGTAGTAGCACGGAGTCTGGAATTGTGCCCGGTATATGGCAATAGGCTCACCCCCTATAACATGGGACTCATACATAACATAAATAGTGAAAAGTGGGTGTTACATTGTACAGTGGCATTAAGTGTCATAATGTACACCTCTGCCTACCCCTTCGGGGATAGAAGGCGTGATGTTATGTTATGTGGGGTGATTGTGTTGCACCATTTACATATGTACCTATATAAATTGTTCGACAAGGCTATTCGACTATTGAATTCATAAGAAAATTTAACACTGGCTACTTTTCAATTTAGTTTTACATAATTCTGCTAGGTGGCGTTGTACGTTTATATTTGTTGCGTTGTTGTTCTTACCTTTCATAAAACTATGTGTAAGTAAACAGAAGGAACTAATTATTTACAAGACTAGAATGTTTTATTAGAATTCCTAGCCTTTAACTCAATACCAACTACTTTCATAGCAAGTAAGGTTATACAAGGTGTAGTTTTAAAACCGTGGCAATTCTCGGGGGCATGTCACAGAAGTCATAAAGGTTCAATGTAAGAGACAATTTCGGGCCAATAGTTAAAAATACGGCTATAATAAATCGTTTAAGTTCGACAGTATTTCAGAATAAGCGGCAGCAATGTTTCTTATTGGAGTTTTATGGAATTAGGAATAATATCAATTACGTGTTTGAGTTTGTGTGTGTTGAGCCGCGTTATAAAGCTAGTTACAAGACTGCGGCGTGTAGTTCGCACTTACGGATTTCCGTAATTTACAGAATATAAATATTTACCTACAATTTTTTTATTGATTCGAACTCAGAATCGATAGCCAAGTTACCTCCTAGAAAATGACGCGGCTTTAAAACAACACATAGTATACTGGTTATAAACTTCTAGAGTAAACAATGTTACTTAGATTTCATTTCTTTTTTTATTTCAAAGTCAAAGTCAAAGTCAAAATCATTTATCAATATCATTTGTCAACAACAAAATTAAAGTGAAGCTATTTGCTCTTGCCCGTTGCCCCACACTATGATTGTCTCCTGTATCGTGGCTGCGTCTACAAACGTATAAGTTCACATACACATCACACCCAGACCCGGAACAACAATCTGTGGATCACACAAAGAGTTGTTCCGTGCGGGAATCAAAACCGCGGCACGTTGCGCGGCAGCCAGTTGCCCAGCCACCGCGCCAACCGTGCAGAATTGCAGATAATCGCATGACAACCATAATGAATCGACATCAACATCATATTAATCTATACTATTATTATAAAGAGGAAAGATTTGTACCTATTTTTGTATGTTTGTAATGAATAGGTTCAAAAAGTTACTGGGCCGATTTAAAAAATTCTTTCACCAATAGAATGCTACAATCTTCCAATTTGACATAGGCTACATTTCATTTTGAAAAAAATTAGGGATCCTTGGTAAAATTTAAACAATGTAACCGAAGGTGTAGAAAAATGATCTTAACATGTCTTTCGTCGAATGCGCTGCCGAAACTATTAGCGATAGAACAAAATAATGTACAACAATATTGAAGAACATCATAATGTCTACAAAAAACTCCGCGGTAGCATATGTCCAACTATTGTAGTTATGTCACTACAACAATCCAAATTTCCAAAAATAAATAATTGTCTACCCCGTGCGAAGCCGGGACGGGCTGCTAGTGGTTTATAAAGTTACTTACCGCTGCAGATCAACTCATGGGGTTCCAGTTCGGTAAGAAGTGCGCCCCTCAACGCAGCTGGCGCCTGGCATCTAGAAGCACACACCATTTGTTGATTGAAACGATATTATACTTATTTAGATAATTTCTTTTTTTTTGTGACACATGGTCAAAAATGTACTCAATCACTCAAGGTGTATTCTTTAGTATTAAGGGGAGTGGAGGGGGCATGGAATGGCTCCTCCCGATTATTTTATTTTCTTACGGAAACGAATAGTTTCGTAGACATATTGATTTGAAATATTGCATGACGTCACACGATTTATACTCTAAAATGTCGTAGCTACCTCCCACTCCTAAACTTTGATTCGTTTTTATCTAAGTATTGTTTTCCTATACGACAAAATAATAAAAAAAATACGTGTCTAATATTTTTTCATTACCTAACTGACGGACTAATTAGATTTTTATGCCCTGTCATCGTCCCTATTATAGATGTGGTTAACTGTAGTGTGTAACTAGTTACTTTATAAATATTGATTAGACGTATTGTAATATAAATGTATGACAAGAGCACGGACCAAGAGTCCATGGAGAATTAATATTTCACATTAAACAAAAATACCACTCCATTTCAACTCTTGGTTCGGAGGAGCTGGTAACCCTTGCACTTCTCCATATCGGGCTTCTAGCCTATTAGGCTCCATCTGTGGTGGCCCTGGACAAATCTGACAGTTAAGCTGCTTACCATCAGGATAACTGTCAAATGTGTAGCTACTAATAGTAGGTCAAGATCTTCTTTTGTCACCTCAAAGAAAACCGACGTGAAACAACGCTTGCGTTGTGTTTCGTCGTGTGAGTGAGGTTACTAGAGGCCCAATTACCCTCCCTAGTCCCCGTCTTCCGAATCCCCGAATCCTCCTCAATCCTCAAATTCCCAATTCCCAAAAGGTCGGTAACGCACTTGTAACGCCTTGGTATTTCGAGTGTCCAAGGGCGGCGCCGATTGCTTACCATCAGGTGATCCGTCTGCTCGTTTACCGGCTTATGCTATAAAAAAACACACATACCTGGCACCTACGCCTAAGATTCCAGCTGCACGGACAGTGGTAGCCAGTCTGGCAACTCTACAGTCGCATACGACTGGATTGTCGGTCAGTCGCAGCGTGTTCAGTCGACTAATCGCTACCGGCTCCAGCGCGAGGTACGTCAAATTGTTGTTGTTTAGAGTCCTGAAAACAAAATATAAAATTAAAACAAGTAAAAATATGTTTAATGTTAAATGGTTTCAATGAGCTTCTATTCTACCAATCAAGCCCTTTCGTTTGATATCCATAATGAAGATAGTTGTGGAATACATAACACAACATCACGCCTTTTGTCCTCGAAGGGTTAGGCAAAGGTGCACTGTGCACAGCACTTAATGCCACTGTAAGTTGTAACACCCACTTTTCAATATTTATGTTATGAGTCCCATGTAATAGGGGGTGAGTCTATTGCCATATACCGGGCACAATTCCAGACTCCGTGCTACTATTTAGTAAGATTTTTTTAAAAACCCCTTAATATTTTTCCCGACTCAGGAATCTAACCCGAGACCTCTAGCCCGACAGTCGCACTTACGACTCGGCCAACGAGGCAGTCATCTAACACCCCTATACATACATACAATTAAAGAAAATTAATTTATTCTTGAACTGTCAATTGGGTCAAACTATTTAAACTGAGGTCAAATCAATAAAACGGTAGGTCAGCACGATCAATTGATCACTCTATTTCGACTGGTTTAAGCCTTGTTAGTATTTAGTTTCACATCTTTTTTATTTAAGGGGGGAAAATCATCGAATGACTGTTCCCACCCGGGTTAGGCGGGAGGGAGTGTCAGACTCTTACTGACTAAAAACCACCCCGTTCCTTCTCCTGCATGTCGAGCCGGAGCCCCGGTTACCCGTTAGGTTCTCCGCGACTAGTTTCAGAACTGTAGGTTAAATTTAAAAGCAAGGTACGTAAGGGAGAGTAATGCTTCACAATGTGTCAGCTCGACCGGAGTTATACCACGGCCTCACTGTACACTGGCGTGAAACAACGCTTGCGTTGTCTGCAGTCGTGTGGGATGACACTGACAAGTGTCAGAATTTACGTCAATCCCATATAATTTGGTTTTCTATTCTACATATAGACAAGCGGTAAATGGTATTTGGCTTATAATTTGTCATTATAAGTTTGAAATCGCGGACCAGCATTGAGCAAGCGTGGTGATTAATACTCACGCTTAAGAAGCCTTTAGTCAGCAAGGGCCACTTATAGGCTGTTGATGATATTGATTGTTAAATATTATTGCTAGGATACTCACAATACTTCCAAACTCTTGAGGTTTTCAAACGCCTTCTCATCGATACATTTGAGGTGGTTTCCATCCAAATGTAGACTCTTCAGTGCCGTCAGACCTCTGAACGTTCTCCGACTTATAGCCGTCAGCTCGTTCCGACTCAAATCCCTAGAACACGAACAAAATTGTCAGGAAACAGATAATGTATAGGTATAAACAGATAGTTTGTTTTTTATATTTGACTAGCAACTTCCTCGCGTTTTTACACGCTCCTATTTGTCGTAGCGTGATGTTTTATAGCCTATAGCCATCCTCGATAAATGCGCTATCCAACACAAAAATAATTATCCAAATCAGACTTGTAGTTATGGAGATTAGCGCGTTCAAACTAACAAACAAAAAATAAACTCTTCAGCTTTATATAATAGTATAAGATAGGCCGACCACTATCTCGCCTGCTGGTGCACGATGATGCGGTCTACGATGGAGCACGTCGTCCCATAAGCAACCTATTCACTCGGGCCTTGAAGACACAAGGTTATACCCTTCAGGAAATACATAGTAATTCCGTTATAAGGACGGGTGTCAGATTGATTGAAACTTCACAAAGTACAATGCAGAACTGTCTTTATTTCTGGTAATACACGAGTTATATATTGGTTACATACATGATTACAAGTACTAACATACTACGCCACACCTCCCAAGGCAATTAAAAAAATATATATATCTATATGCTAATTTTTGTATGTGTATATTTTAATAAATGACAAGAATAAATTTAGTGCTTCCTAACTTATGTATACGTGGATTTTGTAATATTAGTGATTGTAAAAGTAATATAGTTAACGCTTAGTTATATTATCCTAATGTATAATGCACGCGACCACAAAGCCTGTGGTACAGATTTAATTCTATACAGGCATTGTATTGTAACCTACCTAGAATAGTTAAATAATACATACATACATACATACATACATACATAACTTCACGCCTTTCTTCCATGGTGTAGCTAGAAAGTATAGAACGCCAATAGGGTAGATGACTAATTTTTATTTTAATGTCCGTCTGGTAGATTGTGTATTTTAAATCATTAGACACGTATTTTTCATTTTTTTATAGAAACGTATACTTTCGACGATATATTGATTTGAAATGTCGCGTGACGTCACTTCTATGTACATTTTATACGTAGAAATGACGTTTTAGCCCCCACTCATAAACTTTGATTTGTTTTTATCTAAGTATTGTTTTATTATACGACAAAATTAAAAAAATACGTGTCTGATATTTTGTATTACCTAACTGACGGACTAATTTGATTTTTAATTTTCATACCCTGTCATCATCCTAATTATTACGATTCCTCCTTCCCTCTTTCGCTTCATCAACAGTCATTAATCTTTGTATATAAACCATATATTGTAGGTATATTTTAACTTATAAAAGTACCACCATTAAGGCATATTACGTTGCTTTACAAAGTACAACACAAAACTTAAACAATTCCAGTATTAATGAAATTAGTTGAAGTTCTCTGCCGGCACCCTCGAGTCAACAGCTTGAAGGCATAGCGTTAGGGGTGTAAACAGCAGTTATTGCAGAATAAAGCGTCTTCGCACGCCATCAGCAATGTTAAATATTAAACTTTGATGAGACAGCCCTAGGTACGAAAGAATTGTGTGGATCGAAGTTTAAAGTTGACAAGACTATTTATAGTAATTTTTGTTAATAAAAAATGTATATTTGGATCACAGTTTAGCTCTGTGCCTTTAACCAAACGCCACTTTAGCGCTTGTCTACAGAGAGAGTAGAAAACTAAATGTATGGGGATGACACTGACAAGTGTCAAAATTTACGTCAATTTCATATAATTTAGTTTTCTATTCTACATGTAAACAAGCGCTAAATGGCATTTGGCTACAGCTGTTGGTTAGTTATTTTGTAATATCTATAAAACAAAGTATAATCAACAGTGAACAAAACACTGTGGAATATTCTTTAAATTAGTCTTGTATTGAGTATATTACACACACAACAACACGCCTTTTATCCCTGAAGGGATAGGCAGAGGTATACGTTACGGCACTTCATGCCAGTGTACAATGTAACACCCACTTTTCACTATTTGTGTTATAATAATAACGGCAGGTGCCATAGTCATCCATAGTTCCCAATTTACCGGTCCACAGCAACCCATCCATAGCCCTACCTTTTTTTTCCATTATTCACAATAGTCCTACACTAACCGGGGACTGTCCTTGGGTGCATTTCCATAGTGCATACAGGGATAGTCGCCGGTTTGTGTCTCCATTACATTTAGATTAAAGTTGTCTAAAGGGCCTCTGCGCAGTTGGCTTCGAACCCTCGAACGCCTACAAAATGACCGGGACCCTGTGGTCCCGTGAATGGTAAAGACATACATAATAATAAACATTTATTTCAGAATTAATTCCATATACGAATGTTATGAGTCCCATGTAATAGGGGGTGGGTTGATTATTTTAAATTTATTATTGCCATATACCGGTCATAATTCCAGACTCCATGAAGAATTTTTTAAAAACCCAGTAATACTTTGCTTTACCCGGGAATCAAACCCGAGTATTATTGATTGATATGATGCAATAAATCCTAGTGTGGGGCAACGTTTTTTTAAAAAAACAAAAAGAAAAAAAAAACATATAATTATTTAGTAAAATTAGCAATATTTAATAAAAATGTAACATAAGAAGCCAAAACAATAAAACACAATAAAAAACGTCAAGGAAATTTCCCAGACACCAAAATGTTCATTGCGTGCCACCTAACAACGAAACACAAACGAAATACAACACTACCTAGACCCATAAACCAACCATACATAACCTTTATTTTCCCAACCCAAAGGTACCCTAGTAAGAAATACATAAGTCCACCTATTTTCTCATTTCAGTGCATAAATAAAAGAAACAATACGACACTAATAAAGGCTCATGAATAAAGGTCCTTACTAAGCGGAGGCACGTGAATAAAGTCGCTTATGCCGTGTTCGCACTATGCTAGTATTCTAGTCAAGTAGTGAGGTTTTAGTAGCTCTCGATTTTGAGACAGAAGCAAGAGGGAGCTACACTTTGAAAAAGACAGGCATTTTAAATATTTTGCTTGATGTTCAAAAGTGTCTTTCGTGGTCGAAATGAAATAATTTAATTTTGAGTTTTAAGACATCGCCTATTACGCCAATTCCGAGATCGGCAAGATATCGCGAGGTTATAAAATACAAGCACAATCGATTCTTTTTTATAATCTCGCAATATCTAACTTGGGCGTGGACCTAGCTTCACAGATGGACGGACTGACAGACGATTATTCGTTTTTATTATAACTTTCGTGAGACATACTAGTAGCAGCACGACAGTCGCCGCGTCGCGGGTCGCGAAATGCTGCTCATAAATATGAGCCTCTAGCATGGCTTGAAACTAGTCGAGTTCCTCGTCAAATAATTACGTGAGTAAGCCGAAAACAATACATTTAACATTTGTTTCTTTGTTTGTTGACATTTCAAAACTACCTATATTTATAATATAGTTAGAATAAATGTTTTGACTTTGACCCCAATCTCGCAAAATTTGCTTTCCTTCCTTCGACTAACATATTATAGTGTGAACAACGCATCAGAGACGGGACGGTTGATCCACACTAATACAACGGTTTATTCAGGGCTGGGCTCAATCGTTTCCTATCTGGTACTTCTGAATTATTGATGGAGTCTCTCAATTGGGTGTGCTCACGAAATACTTACTTAGATAGGTATAGGTATAGTTTAGGTGTGACTTCTCTGTTGAGTGTGATGTCTCTATTTCGAATATTGAATTTTTTTAAGGGGGGAAAATCATTGATTCATGACTGCTCCCGCCTGGGTGAGGCGGGGGGGAGTGTCAGAATCTTACTGACTAAACACCACCCCGTTCCTACTCCTACCCTTCGAAGCCGGAGCCCCGGCAACCGGCTCCGCGGCTCCGTATCGCCATCAGCCTTATTGGGCCCCATTCTTGGTGGTTTGATGGGGTAGGCAGAGGTGCACATTACGGCACTTAATGCCACTGTGACTGTACAATGTGACACCCACTTTTCCCTATTTATGTTATGAGTCCCATGTAATAGGAGTTGAGCGTACTGCCATATACTGGCCCCAAATCCAGACTCCGTGCTACTACTAAACATTGTTTTAAATGCCAGTAGTACTTTCCCCGACCTGGGAATCGAACTCGAGACCCCTTGTCCGGCAGTCGCACTTGCGACCACTCGGCCAACGAGGCAGGCAACTCACTTGTTTCACTTCAATCTTTCAAATTGAAAGAACTAACAGAATACTATAGCTGGAATAACTCAGTCGTTGCTGCCGGTCCATTGAAATGGACGACAGGCTGATGCTCGTGAAATTAAATATTTTACCTTCTTAACACAATGCGATTAATGACTTAATTGGCCATTTGTGAATCTCTATTATTCTATTAATTTCTTCTTGCAATAAGAAGGCGTCATATTATTATGATTATTATCATCAAAATATAATAAGGAGGTCAGAAAACTATACAACGAATAGTCTTATGATTATTTTTCCGATACGGAAAATGAATGTCTACCTTTTAATTTTATATTTTTTTTAAGGAATAGGACGCAAACCAGACGGATCACCTGGTAGCAAGCGATCAACGCCGCCCATGGACACCCGAAACACCAAAGAAGTCACAGATGCGTTGCTGGCATTTTAAAAAGGAGTACGCTCTTTTCTTGATCGTTTGAAGATCGTATCATACCAGTTTTGGTGTGCGAGGCAGAAATCTGCTAACTTATAATTCTTCTACATCAAAATTTAAAACTGCAAGAAATACAATGTATGTAAAAATAACTTCAACTCTTCACTAAATATATATGAACCCACTACACCACAGTAACAAAGTCTTTGTAAAAGTCTCAAGAGCTCATTAAGCAGTTCCAAGTTCCGGTTGCGGGCAAGATGGCGGCTGCGACGTTATTTCCGATGGCGCTCAGTCGACGTCTGACTGCCATCCGGAGCGGACGTGCTCAACTTTGTAATGATATTGTATTATATTGAATTCTGTTCTTCTATTTCAGTTTTCTTTATTGATTTTGTTATTGATATTTCACAATCTTTGTGATGG